GCAAAACCCTTCGATCAATCCCCGTTCTAGGCCGATTGAAACGAAAATTATGGACAACAGTAAAAAAACCAGGCGGCTTTCACAGAAGTCGGGCAGCATTCGTGCTTCTGCAATACGGGCAACTCCTTTTTCTTGGCGATTTTCGGCGGTTTCAACTCACATCGATCCCACAACTATTCTAAGTTAAATACCACTACTTTATATCAATATTCTACACTTTTAAATGTGTAGAACCTCATGTTTAGTCCACCATATGATTTCTTAACAATCGTATCAAAATAATAGTAGCTAAAGAAATAGTTGAGTTCTTAGCTTTCTTCTAGCTAATTTCCTCTTGGATTTCCTTCCCTCTAGCTTCCTCTAAGTTTTTGTTTGTGAGAGTCATCCCATGGAGCTCTCACTCTATGAAGGGTTCGAATGAGTGCAAGAGGATAGGGGGAGGTACTTCACTCAATCAAACACCATGTACTATGTATGAGTGAGACATGGGGTGCGGGTTTTTGTCTCCAAGAGGCTTCCCATCCTCTTGTCCGCACCAACCCATTTTGGGTTGTCCCCCTCCCTATTATTTTAGGCTTATTTGGCTCATAAAATATCTCAAGTGGGTGTAGGAAATCTCTCCCAATTATTATCGTTATTTCTGGCAGGTTGAGTCAAAATTGCACTTGAGTTGCCCAAACATTTTCCTCAACTTTAGTTGTCATTTTATTGGGCTTCTATAATTATTATGATGACCCAACTAATTATCTGGAAACCCATTTTCAATATTATGGGTCCAATAAATAACCTAATCAATCATTCATTAAATAAATATATCATTCTTTTACATAATTTTATTCGCTAGGAAATTCAAATACATATTGAATTTTAAATTCAAGTACATCCGGTAGCGGTGTCACATTGCACCACTTAACATATTACAAGGGATGAACACATTGATCTAGTTTGATCAGATTGAATCATAACAAATCAAACTAAATCAAATCATATGCAATTTGGTCTAAGTATGGTAGTAGTACTTTCTTTCAAACCACATTGAACTAAACTAAACCAAAATCGTTAAAACCCAAACAAACCGAACTATAAAATTCAATCCAATTATAAGTTCATACTCCGTAATACATTTTTTAAAAATAATAAATCCCAGATCAAACTAAACTAGCTAAAACAATGTTTCAATTTTATTTGATATTTATTCCTCCAACCCGTTTCAGATTGAATCAAACTGAAAACGGATATAAGTCGGATTGAGCCAATATGCGCACCCTACATAATACCGCTACATCATTTATCTCGTCTCCGTTTAAAATAGATATAAGATTCATACAACATATCACATCTTTTTAAAATGAGTTCCCCTTTAAATATTGTTGAAATGAAATACATTGACAGAAATGTGATTAACCTCACTATCTGTGATGGGGTTATAGGACTAGGCCCAAAGCCTAATTGGTCCAGGCCCCGAACTTGGACTAGTAGGCCCAAGGCGAGCGACCCAGCGCTCAAGCCAGCCCAACCGATCAAGGAGCGGAAACCCAAGATGACCTGCCTTCCAGCCCGGCCAGCAGGGGGGCTGCCTTCTAGCCCGGCCAGCAGGGAGCCTGCCTTCCATCCCGGCCAACAGCCTCCCTTCCAGCCAAGCCAGGAGCCTGCCTCCAGTTCGATGGGGAGCTTGCCTTCCAGTCCAACGGGGGGCATGCCTTCCGACCCAGTCAGGAGTCTGCTTTCCAACCCAGCCAGTCGGAGCCTGCCTCTAGCCCGGTGGGGTGCTTGTCGTCCAGTCCAGTAGAAGGGAGCTCAAGCGCCAGGAACGGTAACGACCAAGTCAATCAATGCGCTATTAATTATGTATTCAATTCCATATTAATGTTGTAATTAATTAGCCATCAGTATCTTCGGCAGTTACCATGCATTTGTAATCGCCTATAAAAGGCAAGTCCAATTCAAATGAACGATAAGCTATTTCTAGCAACTAAACTTCCTTTAGCACTTTCCTTATTCGTAATACTTTCTTAATTCCTGCTTGATTGTCGTACGTAGCTTTCCTAAAAGCCCACGAGCGTCCTATTTTGGACCAGCAATCGATATATCATCATATATAGTAATGACCATTTAAGTTTGAACATTATTATAAGTACTAAAATTACTATTATACTCACTATACAATAAAAGCCACATTTTATCAACTAGCTTCATTTTAATCATATATTCACCATTTTTTTAAGTTTCATAAACGTTCACATCGTATTGAGAATATGACTAATGGAAATTAATACATACTAACGCATGCTAAATGAAATGGTAGACAACCCACTGATGCGTCAAGTCTTTGTGTGCATGAACCTAGATTAACAGTCGAATATAATCTAAATAATAATATGGAGAAATGTTGTAGAAGAAGAATAATCGATCAACAATGAATACCGTATATTCATAATGATATGGCGATGATACATGATATACGTATGAACTGTTGAGAGAGAAAAACTAGAAAGGTGCTCTGCCATAATAATAAGTGCAGAACTTAATGTGTAGAAGCTTAGGTTGTTCGAACCCCTCTACCTGTATTTATAAGAGAAATTCGAACATCCTAGTACAATTAGGACAGGTAGGCGAGTGGGCTTGTTTAATTCAAAAGGTTGTTTCTCTCTCAACTAAAAGTATGGTAATACTAAGACTAATCAATCAAAGATAGTTACAATTAATTTGAACACAATTCATAATGTTTTAACAATCTCCTCCTTTGTGTTCAAATCGCGATGAAGAGCAGATTATCTTTGAGTCTTGCATAACGACTTTCTGTAGCCTAGAATGACTTCATATTCTTTGATGTTCCTTCTGAATTCAAGTCTTAGACTGACACGAGTAGCAAAATCATCTATGAGAGCGGTCTGATTTGGGTCTTCTGATTGATCTGATTTGAGAAACTTCTTTGCACACTCATTAACAAGATCTTCAATGATGCGTAGCATTCCATCACAATACGTATGAATTTATTCATTAATAGGATATGTTTCACGCCGTTGTAATCTCTGTAGATCATCCCAGGTTCAGGATTTGCGATGATTTCACCTTCTTTAAATCCTTTTATTCAGGGAGCAATATTTTTCGGAGTTCTGAGATTAACTTTGTTAAGGTTGCTCTCAATAGTCATTTGCAAATCAACCAGAGAATAGTATTTGACTTGTCGCAACACGTATCTCTTTATGGCATTGAGACCAAGTTCTTTGTCTAGTTTAGGAAAGTCTCTGACTCTCACGTTTCTGTATTCAAAGAGCAGTTGTATCATATCTTTAGGAACAACATAGGAAAAATCAGCTTCAGAAATTCTTTGGATCACTTTGTTCTACCTTTCAAATTCAATGATTGGATACTTTGTTTTTCCGCATGAATGCATTCCCACTAATTTGATTCCTATGATTAAGGATTTTGAGTGTAACTTTAGATCACTGCGAAGTTTATAAAGATTTTTTTGATCTGCATACATGTTTCACAGCATCCAGATATGTCCATTACCAGCAGTTCCTTCCGGGTGTTCTAATCCACGGAACTAACTCTCAATCTTCTTGATGTTCTTTGCACTCCTCCAGATCCTATGACAAAATTCCTCGATCTTGAAAAGGAACAACAATGTTGACATTTTCCCAAGGGGTCTCGAACTTATCTTCAATCTTGGATTCCTTGGGTCATCTTCGGATCAGATCTTTTACTATGTGAAAATCAGGGAGCAGATCATCATAGAATCCTCCTTGGACCATTTCTTCTTGATCAAGTTCCATTAGTTCTTCAATGCTTTCTTCTTGAATTCTCTGATGAAATTTAGCTTTGTCAGTGCAGCATCATTGCTCAGTCCTTGTAGATTGTCCTTTTCATTTCTAACAACCCAATAAACTAACAACATATCTGCTTTTGATGGTGCTTTGAATTTTTCTTTAGCTTTAGGTGATGATGGTACTCGTTTAGATGATGAAGGCTTTGAGAATTTAGAAACTGAAGCAATCACTGGAGTTGGTGGAACTGTAGCAGCAGTAGGAACAAATGGAACAAATAAACTAACACTGGGTCATCAGAAAGACTTACCATTGTCATCATACTAGAGATTGTCTCGTTCTGCCGGTCTGAACACATTGGTGATTCATATGTTGCGTTGTGAGGACTTCCTTCTAATCGTGGAACTACATCCATAATAGATGAGCCTATGGAAGTTCTCGTGAGGACACACAGTCCTGACACTATAGGTGAAGGTAAGGATGGTGAAGGAAATGGTTTGTAAACGGTTAAGGCTAGGGATTAGGATGAGGCTTCAGAGTTAAATGAGGGTTGTGGTTGATGAGATGATGATGGTTTAGAGCTAGATGATAGATGAAGAATTATGGCTAAAGATGATTGTTGCTCACACGTACACAACCTTTCCTCCCCCTCATGATGATGATCCATGAACACCTGACAATGATATGAAAACCTGACAGTGACATCATGTTTGATAAGGGCCTGTTTGGTAGTACCCAATTCGGTTGTATTGGTTGATTCTGCTGAAATTTATGAAGTTATGACTGAAGTGACTCGATTGTCTGATTCTGCTAATCAATGCAAAAATTATATTTGGAATATATTTTATTAATAAAATAAAGAAAATATTATATGAAAAACAGCTAAAATGATTCTCTACAATAACTTCAGCTAATACAACCAGAAAAATAACTTCAACGTTACTTTTTCTTATTATTACACAACTCAACGAGCAAAATAAAAAATTATGTGTTTGATGAAAAAGTTGGTTGATAAACATGAGAAGCCCAAAAATAGAGTTACAAAACAGACTCTAAATATATTACTTTGTTAGTCACATATTTGCGAGACAAAAATAGTCACTTTGTTAGAAATAAGCTTCAATTTAATGCAAGAACCCATTAATACGCAAACAACCAAATTGTAACCCACTGAAAAAAGCCCAAAGCATATTAACGCCAGAGGCCCATAGCTTGAAGTAGATGCAAGAGCGGAAACCCTAGCTTGAAGTAGCCCAAAGCATTGGCATGTGTATATATATGCAGTTTTGCCCAAACCCTAAGCTCTTATCGCAGACGCAAATATGCAGATCTTCGTGAAGACCCTGACGGGGAAGACGATCACCCTCGAGGTCGAATCATCGGACACAATCGACAATGTGAAGACCAAGATCCAGGACAAGGAAGGCATCCCGCCGGACCAGCAGCGACTCATCTTCGCCGGAAAGCAGCTCGAGGACGGCCGTACCTTGGCCGATTACAATATTCAGAAGGAGTCAACCCTCCACCTTGTCCTCCGCCTCCGCGGTGGTGCGAAGAAGCGTAAGAAGAAGACCTACACTAAGCCAAAGAAGCTGAAGCACAAGCACAAAAAGGTCAAGCTCGCCGTCTTGCAGTTCTACAAGGTCGACGATTCTGGAAAGGTCCAAAGGCTTCGCAAGGAATGCCCCAACGCCGAGTGCGGTGCCGGTACCTTTATGGCTAACCATTTCGACAGGCACTACTGTGGCAAGTGCGGCCTCACCTATGTCTACCAGAAGGGTGGTGATTAAGCTTTTTTATGAAACCTTTACCTTTTCCATTATTATTACATCTGGATGATTAAATTTAGCACTTTGTTACTGTTTTGAATTAAGATGTTGTGGATTGCCTTCCATCTAAGTTAAATTTCTGGTTTAGACTCTCCTTTTGACTAAATTTTCTCCAGAATTTTGATATGCGCTGTTTCTATAACTTTATGTGCTTATTGAGAAGTATTAGATGCTGATAAATGTCTCTTTTTAGCTAAGTAAATTTGTTGATAAATGGTATGCACTGTGTTTTGAATGGAAGTATATGATATGATGAACTAGGATATGTCTAGCTGCCCATATACTTTGAAGAGAAGATGATAACCTAGTGTCCTTAATATTGTACTGTGGAATTCATTTGAGCCACATATGTTAGGAGGGTTGCCACTTCTTTTCTTCACTCTCTTCTGGTAGGCACTAGGCAATAATTCAGTGTTGGAAGATCTAAAGTTAGGAATATTTTATGATAATCCAATCTTAGGTGTTGATTTCTGTTTGGAAGCCTTGGCAGCTTTAATTTCTCTTAGAGTTTGTTTGGAAACAGTGAAGTGCCACAATTGGGATGGGGTAGTAGTTATTTATGTTCTAGATTATTTATACATTTAGTAGATGAAAATTGAGAGAAGATTATTCCAGGTAAAAATACAATGGCTTGCTAACTACAAAATTAAATATTTGCAAGAGTTAGCATTTGCTGATCACCTCAAATGCTCCCCGATTCCCATATTTGCAGCAGGTGCAAATACAATTTTCCTTCTTTGGAAGCAACTCGTTTTTTAGCCCATTGTTTATTTGTTACTCTACTGAAGCCTCTTTTGAAAAATCATCTTTTCTGATATCCTAATAGGATTTCATCAATAGCTTATTAATCCAAAAGTGTAATCCGGTCTCTGTTTAATTTTGATATGCTTAAAACTCAGTCTGCCTATTTTTGTTTAAAACAAACATGAACAATTGTAAAACAACCTACAACTACAAACATTTCATTTCCTTTAAAGGCTAAAAAATCTAACCTTTGCAGCGAGGTTTTTCAACTAAATGAAATGTATTTACAAAAATATGAATAATACGGAGTAGTTATGGTTTTGTCTCATAGACATTTTTTAGTCACATTTTTAACTATGTAACTGTAGTTATATTTTTTAAATAAGTTTACAAAAGTAATATGTTTGATAGCATTCAAAGCATCATGAACGTTAGTAGCTACTTTCAATACAAGCAATATAGTTTCTCTCAATACAAGCAATGTGGGGATCACCGAAAATTCTAGTCTAGGAAAAGGAAATTGCAACTGAATGGTGCTTTCTAATGTTGGCTTAGCCTTTGGAAACGTATAAAAACGAAATTTAATCAACATTTATAATTTGTTTATGTATGTTCAAATTTCTCAGCATTTTGATTGATAATAGAAATAAATTTTGACGAATATTGAACTGAAAAAGAACCAAATCCACACCATAAAACAAAACATAGAGCCCGTTTGGTAACTCGGAAATTTATGAAGTTTTGGTTGAAGTGATTTTATTTGCTGATTCTGTTGATTTATGAAATGAAAATATTATATTTAAAATATATTTTATTAGTGAAATAAATAAAAAATTATTTGAAAAATAGTTAAGATGATCATATACATTAACTTTTTAATCAATAAAGCTAGAAAAGTAAAGAGAAAAGGGTCAAATAAGACCTACTATTATGAAATAGTCACATAAGACTACAGGTGGACCGGTTCCGATTCGGGCCCGGTTCGGGTCTGGTCCCGGCCGGGCCTCGGTTTATGAAAGGGGAGGTCCGGAAGTCCGGAACCGGCCCGGACCTTGGTTCATGTAATTTTTTTTGGCTTTTCCTAATTAACCCTCAACCCTCCCCCCTCACCCCCAAACCACCCCAAACCACCTCAAATTGCCCATCATACCCAACACAACCCAAAAACTTAAAAAAAATTCAAAAAAAAAAAGAAAAAAAAATAAATTGGCCCGGACCGGGCCCGAACCGGCCGGGCCGGTTCACTATTTAGCAGACCCGGGCCCGAACCGCCTACCTCACTGGACCGGGTGGCCCGAACCGGACACCAACCAGTTCACCGGGCCGGTCCGGGCCCGCACAGTAGCGGGCCGGTCCGGTTATGGGCCGGTTGGCCCGGTCCGAGTCCACTCCTACATAAGGCCATGTACTCAATAAAGTATCATATAAGTACCTCTACTTGTAAAAAGCAATCAAATGAGTCCTAATGGTCTATTTAACACCTCTTAATCCCGGTTTCAACGTACTTCTGACAATCTTTTTAGAATACATTATACTACATATGTCGAATATTTAACTAAGATTGGTTGAAATACAAGTCAAAAAAATCGACATGTAAGCTAAAATCGGGATCAGGACGTGTTAAATAAGCCGTTAGGACTCATTTGATTGCTTTATATAATGTATTTAAATAAATCTGAGAGAAAAAACCAGTTAGACGAGCAATACTCAGAACATGGACCTTGATTAGTTGATTGAGAGAAAGTGTTGGCACCGAAGGGCAAAACAGGAAGAAAAAAGCTTTCTATCCATTTCTTAAACTTTGTGCCAATTTGAAGGGTTGCATTTCAAACCGAATAGAGGAACTGAGGAAGTGGTACCTTTGACTATATTTATTTAATAATGTATTCCAAATTGATTTTTTCAAAAATATTTTTAAACTCCACTTATTTTAAATTTTCAAAAATTTGAATTTTTTATTTTTTTACTAAAAAGAAATGAAAGATTTTAATGGTCAATCTTGTGTGTTGGCAAACATGAAAAGTGGATCATTGCAATTAAAAAATAACGGAGGAAGTATTACACAATTCAAAATTCAACACGTGAAATCAAAGTTTACATGTTTGGTTAAAAGTTGACTAATAAGTCCGATAAACAAAAAAACATGATCACCAAACAGACTCTCAATCAACTACGGTTTGTGTCTGAAACAATAAAAATATCACTTTCAATTAAACTATAGTCTTGTTTCACAAAATTCAAACGAAAAGAAAACTTTTAGACAAAAAAAGCATACTCAAAACTTGGCCTTAACCTTTTCGTAATTTTATATTTTTATGAACCCAAGGGCCATGACTCTTGCTGCCATACTCTAGAGTCTAGACCCTTCGTGATAATAACATTATCAAAAGGCACTTTTTTAGATCTAAGAGTCCGTTTGGTAAAATTTATGAAGTTCTAGTTGAAATGGTTGTATTGGTTGATTCTGTTGATTTGTGAAGAAATTATATTTAAAATATATTTTATTAATAATAAAAAATATATATGAAAAATAGATGAAATTGTCGCCTACAATAATTTCAATCGATACAGCCAGAAAAGTAACTTCAATCTTACCTTTTCTTATTAATACACAATTCAGCGCGCGAAATTAAAAATTACGCGTTTGATTAAAAAGTTGATTGATAAGCCCGAAACCCGAAAATCAGAGTCATCAAAGAGGTCTAAATAAAACTAATTCCTAGTTCCTAGCTACCGATTACTTACATAAATGAAAATAACTTATGGTAAAAATATATAATAATGCGTAGTATAACCTATATATGACGAAACCTGATTTTTAATGGCAAAAGACTTATATTAAAATATTAACAAGATATATGCATACAAGTATCCGGTCAGTTTCCCAAACAACAAACATAAAACAATAATAAAACCCGAATGAAAATAAAATAAACTAGTGAAGTAAACATAACTGTAATAAAACTTAGTTAATAAATCAGAAGATATAACTTAGACAATTGGGCATGTACGACCTCAGTCTCACTAAAATTGAGACATAAGAGAGTGATACAAACCCGCACAAGTAATTCAACTGGTAAAGCGGTGAGAAGGTTGGAGAAATGAGTAAGGATCAAAACTCGCAACGACCGTATGGAGGTCACTCGTTTGTGCTGGATTGAGCCTCCGACACGCACGGGTATAAGGTCTACCGTCGTTAGGATTGGTTGAGTCGGCGTGATTTACTACCTCTCGCATACTCTGTCAGGTCAGGGCGTGGGGGCCCTTGGGGTTGGGGAGTCAACCTTTTGGAGCAATAAGAGGGTGATACGATTATTAAGAAATGTGAATTTATGTAGTTGATATTAACCTAATAAAGTACAAATAAAGTAAAAATAGTTTAGAGCCATGCAAACTTTTCCCAATTTGATGTGGGATATTTTTAGTGGGATTTCCTGAAAAAGAAAAATGAGACAATATTAACGGGACAAATATCATTTATCAAGATCATTATTCATTAACAATTAACATGACCTTAGTGGCATCCGATTTGGATATGCTTATTTTCTTTAATAAGCGATATGGTTTGAATGGGATTTTGTCCATATGAAATGATGTTTAAATCAGATTAAATCTAATTAATCTTGTCTAAGGTTGTCATTTCCACACTAATTTCGCTTAATCGTTTTTAGTTGTAATATTATATGATTATGTGCTATTAAATTTGAAAAAGATATAAATCCTAACAATATGACACATTTTAAAAAGATTCATCCTAATCCAGAGGATATAAGTTTGCAGGAATTGCAGAGGCCATTTTGAAGTTGCATGTAGTGCTGCATTTATGTTGGCACATTTTGTTTGACTCAATGAGGAAATTTGTGAGGTGTATCACTAAGCTACTTGCGTAGATGAATAGAATTTAGTTGAGATATTTTCTATTGCAAAAATACACATGATGATAATGCGACATATTGTGATTGCTTCGAAGTGTAAAACGATTACTTAATTTCAAAATGTGGGGTCAGTCCATGGGGTTGAGTGAGTGATAAATAACTAAGATGCTTTTATCTAAAGTATTTAAACAAATCCAACTGTTCATTACAGTGAGCATGCTAATGTGCTCCATATATTTTTTCTTGGTTTAAGTGGTATATGTAATAGCAAAAGATTATGGCATATATTGTTATTGTTAGCAGGATAATTATGGCTAAAGATTATAGAGCCCGTTTTAGAGGCTCTTCGAGGTAAAACTATATTTATGCCACAAAATGTGAAATCTAAATTTAAACCTAAAATTAGGGGTGGACACGGTACGATCCGATCCAATATTTTGTCAAATCCGTACTCGTACTGTGACTATTGACAATAGGGACGACTTACATTAACATTGATTGACAAAAAAATGTTGACTTTATAAATCAATTTGGGACGGATGGAGTAATCAATAAATTCCAGATAAACTACAATAGTACAAATTTAAATAATTAAATCATACTTCGGTCCGGTTCAGTCTGATACCTGTTTTTATTTTATGAGAATCCGTCATGACATTGTTTGAAACTGGTACGGTTCGATTTGGGACAAAAGATTTTGGGATAAGTTTCAAACCCCATTTATCGGTCCGGTATCATACCTGTCCGATTCAGTACCATGCCAGTTTGGTATTTTTGTCCACCCCTACCTAAAATGACCTCCAAGTCCAAACTGCCTTGACGCAAACATAAAGTAAAAGTCAATCATTCTTTATAGGTTTATTGGGGTGGATAGGGTTCAAGAACCCAATATCTGATATTGGGTATTTTAAAAAGGTTTAAATATATTTTTTGAATGAAAAATAATCAGATATCATTTACACAATCACGAAACAAAAGGTCCTG